CCAGTGTCCCATGGCTCTGGGGTTCTGATTTTAATGGCTCTGGGGTTCTGATTCTAATGGCTATGGGGTTCTGATTCTAATGGCTCTGGGGTTCTGATTCTAATGGCTATGGGGTTCTGATTTTAATGGCTATGGGGTTCTGATTCTAATGGCTCTGGGGTTCTGATTCTAATGGCTCTGGGGTTCTGATTCTAATGGCTATGGGGTTCTGATTCTAATGGCTATGGGGTTCCCAGTGTCCCTTGGCTCTGGGGTTCTGATTCTAATGGCTGTCGGGGTCATGGTGCCGCATGGTTATGGGGTTCTGGTTCTCTGTGCCTATGGGGTTCCCAATTCTCTGTGGCTATGGTGGTCCCAGCGCCCTATAGCTATGGGGCTCTGATTCTTTGCGGCAATGGGGGTCGTGGTGCCCCACAGCCATGGGGTCTCCTGTCAGGATGGAGGCCCAGCCGCTCCCCACAGAGCCCGGTGTGGGGAGGGACATGGGGCAAAGTGTCCCCAGTGCCGGGAGGTGACAATCTGTGATGGTGTCACCACGGTTCTGTGCTCAGGACCTGACCCTGAAGCTGTGCCTCATCCGGAGCATCGCCATGATCAGCCGGGCCGTCCGTGGCAGCACCAAATGCACTGACTTTGTTTTGGGTCGCAAAGCCGAACTCGTGGCGCAGATGGTGGTGAGAAACGGGTGCCAGGGTTGGGTGGTTGGGGGGGTGGGGGGGAGGAGGAGAGGGTCAGGATTTGGGGGGTGGGGAATGGGGTGGATGTGACATCCGCGTCCCCATCCCCATCCCCTTGGTCTGTGTTGCAGGAGTTCATCAAAGCAGAACCGCTGGACTCGATGCGGACACCGGTGCGGCAGTGGGCGATGGTCACCTGCACTCACCTGGTGTATCCTCTGTAGAGCCAAGGGATACGTGGGTTGGAAGGGTCCTGGAAGGTCATAGAGGCATGGGATGGTTGGGTTGGGTTGGATTGGGTTCAGAAGGCCCTGGAAGGTCATAGAGGCATGGGATGGTTGGGTTGGAGTGGGTTCAGAGGGTCCTGGAAGGTCATAGAGGCATGGGATTGTTGGGTTGGACTGGGTTAGAAGCGTCCTGGAAGGTTGTAGAGGAATGGGATGGTTGGGTTGGATTGGGTTCAGAAGGCCCTGGAAGGTCACAGAGGCATGGGATGGTTGGGTTGGATTGGGTTCAGAGGGTCCTGGAAGGTCA